ACGATAAAAAGAATATTTAAAATTCGATTTGATCCCCGTCGCTGGACACGCGAGACCGACATATTGTTCGGCGTTATTTCAAACCGTCATTCGCGGTCATTGTTGAGGTAATTGGATATCAGGAATTGTTTCAACGTTCCCTTTCATCGCAATTACATCTGATTTTAACAACCGAACGGTTGACACGCGAGCATCACCGCGGCTAGCTCTCCGGCAGAAATTGTTGCTACCGTGGGATCCGCCTTAACCTGTTAATCGAGCAGGACAAGTTGACTTGTCAGTTAAACACGTTTTTTCCGTTTAATCGTCTAAGCCTGCCACTTCTGTCGTGTAATAATGACACTTGCCCTTTCCTCGTGAAACTAGCAAAATTATGATCAAGTTCTATATAAAATTTACATGTTCCTGCGAGACAAGGAAACGCCAGAAGTTACATATGCGTTTAACAGTGTAAAAGATTAATGACACCCATGACATCATACTATCTGCAGTAGCGTGAATTAACTTGATTTCATTTATCGCGACACCTTTCATCGCGGTGACTCTTAAAATTCTTCGTCATTAATTATCGCGAGCGTTTGGTCTAATCATTGAACGACAGTTAACAAAGTCGAGTGTCTAAGTGATGAATGAAAATAGAGAATGATACCAATGAAAATAGTTGTTATATGAGTATCATTTTTTATTAGTCCAATGTTATTCGTGTTTAATATCCATGTCTCGCTAAGTCGCTCGAGTAACAGGTTCAAAATCAACCTTCCCTTATCCCGTGGCCGTGCTAGCCGTCTCGCGAGCGGCTGCGAGCGATCGCAAAACTTTGAGCCACTGTCAGACCCAAAATCCAAAGGGGGAAAATACCAATACTGCGGAAAGCTTTCGAAAACTCCGGGATTAGCCGGTGTTTATCACGCAGAGGAACTTCAGATCATCGACACAGATATTGTTACGTTATATACATCTAAGGTAACAAAATATAGCGCGAGCGCGCGCGTCTCGCCTGGTCTCTCGCCTCGGTGACGCACGGACAAACGAGTTCGTCTTCCTGAACGCTAGCTCGCTCGCGCGCGCGCATTATTTCAGCCTGCCTGCCAGCTCCCGGTCGAGCTGATAAAGTACATCTGTCGCCAGCTAATTCATTTACCTAACAACGGTAACGATTAACCGCTCGGTCCGATTTCAGTATCATTCCGATAGCGTTGTGAACTGGTCGAGTCCTTGAGGCTTTAAGGTTTAATCTGAAAGGATGAAGCTTTGAAGCTTCAAGGTTTAATCCGAAAGGATGAAGCTTTGAAGTTTCAAAGTTTAATCCGAGAGGATAAAGCTTCGAAGTTTCAGGGTTCAAGTTTAGAGGATAGGTCTTTGAAGCTTCAAGGTTTAATTTGAAAGGACGAGGCTTCAAAGGTTTAAGGTTTAAGTTTGAAGGATAGGTCTTCGAAGCTTCAAGGTTTAAGTTTAGAAACTAGGTCTTCGAAGCTTCAAGTTTAGAAGCTAGGTCTTCGAAGCTTTAAGTTTAGGAGCTAGGTATTCGAAACTTCAAACTTCAAGTTTAGAAGCTAGGTCTTCGAAGCTCCAAAGTTCAAGTTTAGAAGCTAGGTCTTCGAAGTTCCAAAGTTCAATCTTAGTGACTGAACCTTCAAAGCTTCAACATTCAATTTGAAAAACTAAATCTCAGAAGCTTCATGACTGCACCAAAGGTTCAGTCTTCACACTACTCTGGAGGCAATTTCCTTTTACAGCTTTTATCAGTACACAAACACTCCTAGAAGTGATTAACCGATCGTCGACACGATTTCTACTCGAACGACCATATGAATCCCAGTTTCGAAGGAATCTGTTTCCAAAATTCGAATCACGTCGACTGGAATTCAGTACCCTCCAACCTGTGAACGTCTGAAAAATCTTGAAGTCTCGGAACCTTGAAAGTCTCAAAGTCTCGGCAATCTTGAATTGGAGCCGAGTCTCGGTCTCGCTTCCAATGATGCGCGAGTTTCACGAATATGGGCGGCCATCGCTGCGGCAATACATTGTAGACATAAAGGTCGCTGGTACCGTCATTGACTCGCTGAGACTCGGCACGGCTTCAAAATTCATTTGACGTGGAAAAGTCGAAGGGCGTCGGATCCCGTTCGAAGCGATTCGAAGTTTCGATCAGCCATCGCCGGCTGTCGTGACGAGCGCAATTAAGTTTTCGTCGATTTTTGATACGCCCAGACACCCGTCCGGGTCCCGCGAACGATTTTCCCTTTCGCGTTGGTAAATGCGATCGTGTCTATGATCAGTTGGCTCGACGCGTCAGTCCAGCGGTTCTCAGACTCCCCGAATTCGCAGGTCTCTCCGAGTTCTGTCTTTACTTCTAGGTGTCTTCGAGATGAAACGTTCGCTTCGCTAATTAGGAAACGTTCGTAAGAAAGTTTCTGTAATTTTAGGGGGCAGTTCTTTTTCCGTGGAATACCCGAGCGTCTCTCCCTTAATTTCCCGGCTCGCTTTGGCAGCCGCTGTATTTCTGTTTCGCGCGAACGAAGGCCATGCGGTTTTGACCTGGGACTGATTCCAACATCAGTGAAATTCGATGAAAATATCGTGCGAAGACCTTACTAACGCAGTTTCGCGGAATGGTGAATGGCTGTTGGAACCGGCGCTGTTCACTGCTCTCTGATATCCTCGTTTTTGTTGTCCCCGCCATTCTTACGAAAACGGCGGCGTAAAAAATCGCGTAAACGTACACTTTAGCGACTTTCTATTCAATTAACCAATCCGAGGCTGAGCGTGATCTATCCTAGACCTCGGTTGATTTAGTTTAGCAATTCAGTAACGTCTAAATAGTCTAGAATTAAAAACCGTTGAACTGCGCATTCGCCAAAAATTATACTCGAATGAACCCATTTTTTGGAAAAGTCGAGTAAACTGGTTTTGTCTTGTCGATCGCATCTTCAGGATATATTTAAGTCCCCTGGAAACATCGCTGAACGTTTATTTAAGAAATATACTAGTAGTGGAACCTTTTGTTACAAATATATGGTACTCGTAGACAAGTACTGAGGCAGAATGGGTTAAACAGTTCTTGTTTAAGATACACAGGTACCGCAGCTAAGTGGTCACTGGTCCTAATGATTTTAATTAACCCCTTGGCGCATTCACTTTCGCTGCTGAGCTCGTGCAGCATTCTACCATCGACAATTTGGAAGAAGACGAAATGTTCTGTTCCTTAAGTGGAAATTTCATTTGTAGATAATACATTGATAATAGTTTTTTGCTTTGATCCGCGGGAAATGAATGAGTTTTGTCAACCCTTTGCACTCCGTAGGCACCAATTGATTTGACACAGTAAAATTATAGAGTTTGACATTTAATATTAAACTTCGTACAATCGACATGTAAAATATTAAAATAAAACAGTCTCTTTAATTTATCTGCGATTTCTCGTTCAGTGGTTTGAAAGAATGTCGTTGGTATTTGATTGAAAAATGTTGAGTACTTCTAATGAAAAACTTGGAGTGCAAAGGGTTAAATCTGGAAATCTTCGTCACGAGGCTCGCTGGTGATCGCAAGGGGTTAATAGAAACTCAAAGACAAAGATATTTAAATTCCGAATTGAGACATCGATCCAGTGGACTACTTAAGAATAGCCGTAGCCAGAATCTAACATCACAGAGGCGTTTCGAACTATCGATTGCCAGCGGCTTGAGCACAGAATGTAACTACCTACGTTAGTTTCAGGCGGCGAATGTCATAAATTAAAACGTCGTCCTTGCGCGCGTGCAAGTTCGCGAAGTATACTCGGGCTGGCGATACAGTAAGATAATAAACCTGGCGGAACCGAGAAGCTCTTTCTTTTTCTTTTTCCATGCTGGCGCGGGTCGACTCGGGCCTAGAATCTTGCTCGATAATGCAGAAATCTTAGAAATTACACTAACAGGGAAACCGATTTACGAAAAGGGCCACTTCGCTCGAGATTGAGTTACGCCTTCGTTCCCTGGTAACGCGATAAGCTTCTGTGACCATCAGATCTAAATCTTTCTTTATGGTTCTGTTGATTCTCTCCGCTAATGTCGACATTCTCGAAGATAAAGATATAACTATTTGCGCTCGGAAGTTTCTCGTTTAAAGATTTTCATCTAGAACTGTGTATAGATTAACCCTTTGCGGAATGTCGACATTTAGACGAGACGAAATTTTTGGAAAACTAAGTCGCAGACAGATGATTTAATTGAACAGCAAGAGATTACGTGGTTTCCGTTTTCTATTAATTAAGCGATTGATGTACGATTTATTTCTTCTCTTGAAGGTTTCCTACATTTCAAAGAATCTTCGTCCGCAAAGGGTTAAGGAACGAAGGTGTTTTATTTTCATTTGTGAATTGATGCGTTATACGAGACTCAATGATTTTGTTACACTCAAATCGAGTGACCGAGAGTCACCTCTCGGGTGGCGAGGGTTAATAAACTCAACGGTACCATAAAGGAAAGCTGCTTTTGCGAGTCAACTCGGATTGGCGCAAGATAGTCTTCAGGAATGAAGTTGTTCCACTTAATAGATTTTACTCCGATTAATCATCTGGTGTTCGCGATCATTTTTTTTGCCGTTCGGCTAACGATTTCTGTTTCGTGAAACTGCTCGACCGGATTCCTCCACTTCATGCAGATTCAATGCTTCTCGCTCTAGTTTCCGATGGAATCGAACAACGGGCGAATCGGGGAGATAACGGCGGGCAATTCTCAAACACTGACCTTTCTCGATAATGTTCGCAACGCGGTCTAGAGGCTGCGTCTGTTAATGCTAGGAACACCGAACGCTAGATGTAATCTAAGAATTCACAGAAGTTCGTTGATTGAAAATCTGAATTCGTTGCATCGTGCAATCGTAACGAATAAATTCCTTGACCAATTTCTCATAGAAAAAGCATTCTCTGTTTTATCAATTGCGAAGCTTCTAGCGCTGACACTTCAACTAACGATTCAAAATTCGAAAATGGTATGAGAAATTGTCACCAGACTCTTATCTTTTTGAATAATATTTCAAGTACATTAATTAACTCTTCCGGACGGGGACTTCCAGAGTAAACCTTCGGGAAGCTAAGATAGAATTCTTAAACGTTAGAAACAGGAAACTAAACACTAATCTCTGTGTATTCGAATAATTAAGTTACTAGTTCGCAATTGTATATTCTAGATATGAAACTTTAACATTAGAACTACCGAGCGTTTAATACGATTGATATGTAATCTCTAAAAATTGTAACAATAGATTATTTTCAGTTTCTTTGGATATTCATCATAGTACTCAAGTGAAACTATTTCCAAAATCATTTCAAATATTCAATGCTTTTAAGGTATTAGTAACTGCGAAACAAACAAATCGAGACCAGTCATTCTGACTGTTACTTAGTTCTAATGTTAATATCATCAATTCGATAACCGTCCTCGAAGGGTTAAAATCCTCAAACATCTCATTAGCGTACTCAAAGCGTCAAGACGTTGCAACACCTTCAAAAATGGCAACAAGTGAAACGAGACACTAAAAGGACCATTTCTCAATCACTAGTCATTTCTCTAACACGTTGAATGCCATGGGGGTCGGTGACTCCCAATCAAATCGAATTACTATAGTTAATTTAATTGAAAGACGATTATCACATTTCTATATTATAAACAATGCTATCGAATACATTGAGCAAGATCAGCGTGCAATAGTAACACAGTTCAAGCAAATGATGTAATATTATATTATTCCATTTCCATTTTGTTCTATGAAATCGTGCGGCGTTCAACGTGTTAACGCGTCGTTTCTTCAGTGCCAGGCCCGAGTCTTCATGCTTCCGGTTTGCCACCTTGTTCTAGCGTCTTCACCTGCGAGCGTGCACGAGGCGGATTCGAATCGATAGTTGGCTCGCGTTCGACTCTATTTTTTCCGTTTATCGCCGGGATCTAGGATCGGCCGTGTCTAGCTTTCCGCGGCCAGATCGAAGAATCGCGTTCTCGAACGCGGCCCGACGACGGTTTCCTCCGACTGCCCCGTGTTCCCGCGACGCGCGCTCTCCCGCGGCTCCCGCGTCCCCGTTTTCGAGGGATGATAAAAGTTTATCTCTCTCCGAAGTCGCCGAAGCGATCCAAAAATAACGTCACCGCCGCTGCGCGCGTTAAACCGCGTGCACACCGGGCCGACTGCGCACTGTTGGGTGACGACTCGGCGTAGGGGTCAGCAACCTTTTTTTTCAACGAAGTGCCGTGTTTCTGTAAATTTATTTGGAAGATTTTAAGAGCTGCGAGGACGAAAATGTAAACAAGAAGCGTCGAATCGCAGTTGTTTAAGATGGAATTTCATTATTCTGGGCTAGAGATTCAGAATGGAAGAGCTGTAGGTTGCCGACCTTTAGTCTAACGGAATAGAAGCAAGAGTTTTCATTATTATCTTGTTTGATAGTGAAGAATAAAAATGCTTGAGCATCAATGATGAAATATGAGACAATTTTGAAATCTAGGTAAATTTCGTTGAGATCAAACTTATAGAATACTAAGTTACAAACATGCGACTTAACTACTCAAACTGCAAGAAATCAGTGGATTTCCTTATCCTCTATCATTTAAGCGATAATTTGCCAGAATCTGTTGTATACTTCAGAGAATCTTCCTCGAAGGTTTACAGTATGCTTCTAAGAATGCGGAGGAAACGTAGAATGAGAATAAAATCGCCATATTTCTCCGGTAAACGGTTAACCATTAAGAGTGCAGTTCTAACGTCCTAACGAGCGCAGTTACGGAAGGAGTCGTAGGGCAAGGGGTTATCTGTTGTCGAGAATTTCATAAGGAGCGCGATAAAACCAAGGAAAATTTGTGTTTAGCGTGCTTTTATGGCGTCCGCGCGGAGCGTCAGTCTGGTTCCGCGAGTCCCGTGTACGTACACGCCGAGCGCAGGATAGAAAATCGCAATTTCATACATTGTTCCGGGTTCTTATCAAGATCCCCCACGGTTAAGCCCCGGTGCAGACGGGCGAGTTTCTGCGGCGCGATGCAGCCGAGCGAGTTTTACCGGCGCTGCGCGGCGCCGCGTCGCACCCAGCGACGGCGCGCGGGATCGGCGAGAGAGAGAGAGAGAGAGAGGGAGAGAGGAAACGAATCGGTTTCCTTTCCTTTTTCTGTATAAAAGTTGACCAGCAAAATTAAAACAAACTATTCGACCCGTCCCGTTCGCCCCGTAATTGCGTTTACTGGAATCCCGCGCCAACTCCGCGATATTCTCTCCCCGGCCGGATTTTAATTATCACCGAAACGCTCGCTCGTTTTCGCCTCCTCGTACATCGGGTGCGCTAATTAAGTAATTTACCGGGGATTGTTGAACTCCGTGCGAGTATTTGTTTGTAAATAATTCGCTCGGATTGGGGATTCACCGGTTTTCGACGCGTGAACTTTTGGGGAATTTCTGTGGAAGTTCGGCGTTTAAGGGAGGACCCCACTTAGAGATGTCCTAAACATAGGTAAACTTTAGGGATTCTTTTGTTCGTGACTGTGGAGTGGGAACTTCTGATTTTTTCTGGGGAACTGTGATGTGGTTAATATTTATGTTTTTTCTAAGCCACAGTGTAAACTTTAGGAATTCTTCTGTTAATGACTGTTGAGAAAGCTTCTGATTTTTTCTGGGTATGTAACTGTAATATGGTTAATATTTATATTTTTTCTGAGCCTCAATGTAAACTTTAAGAATTCTTTTGTTAGTGACTGTTGAGTGGGAACTTCTGATTTTTTCTGGGTAACTGTGATGTGGTTAATATTTATGTTTTTTCTAAGCTACAGCATAAACTTTAGGAATTCTTTTGTTAATGACTGTTGAGAAAGCTTCTGATTTTTTCTGGGTAACTGTGATGTGGTTAATATTTATATTTTTTCTATGCCTCAGTGTTACAAAATGGCGCAGATATTCGCAGCTTTAGAACCCCTTTTCATGAAACATTCGAAGACAATTTTTGTGGATTTATAAATAGAAAATAAACAGAGAAGAATCAGAAGTTCCTCTTAATAATTACTAACAACAAAATTCCTGAAGTTTATCTATGTTTAGGACGTCTCTAGCTGGGATCACCGGTTGACGACGTGTTACGGTGATCGTACGGATGAAAGAAAATAGTGGATGACTTGCTAAGTTGGTAACAAAGTCCTTTCCCACGGCGAGTCTTTTAATTTTATTTTATTGTTACTCCCTGCGGTCGTGATACTTTTTGCCGTGGATATACCGTTGTTCGGAATTATTCTCGCTCGCGGAACGGGAGACTTGATCGAGTGTTGCTTGGAAACTTACTTCGTTCCAATGAATTATTGTACCGTAGTAATTGCAGTAATTAATAACGACAAGTTATTAGTACTCTAATAGTGAGAACATTTTTTATCATATTATACTGCGCTAGGTTATTCCTGTTTACGATCACGATGGCAGAAATAACTGGCAGAGAGAGTGTATCGAGCTTGAAACGTGAAAATTTAGTAACGATTATTAACTAAAAACAAGGACTTTATTAACCTAATATTCCTACGACACAATAATTCAGTATATCGAGGCACTGAAGTAAAGGAAATCGAATTCTAAAGAATACTGTTAATCGTACAACTCGCAAGAACTTTTCGAGAGGATTTCAAAGTATCGTTACACAAGTTCTGTCAAATCAGCTTAAAGGTGTTAACGTTATAACGTCAATTTTCCTAAGCATTAACCTAAACCAAAGAAAATTGAGATTCTAAAGACTACCAAAAGTGTTCTCATTAATTATTGACAGGAATTTTCCGAAAGAATTTCAAAGTATCGCTACCCGAGTTCATCTAGTTAACACTAGAACTACTAGTCAAAATGACCGGTTTCGATTTTTTTGTTTATTATCTTCGAAGCATCGAATATTCGAAATGATTTTGTAAATAGTTTCATTTCAGTACTACAATGAATGTCTGAAGAAACTGAAAGTAATCTATCGTTACAATTTTTATAGGAATCGCATATTAACCGTATCAAATGCTCGGTAGTTCTAGTGTTAACGATGCGAGCGACTCTCCGGTGTGCACGTAGCTTTACGCAGACTCTGCCTGTCGCCTCGGTTCGCGCTCTGAGCAACGATGTCGCTGGTGGGGGATCGGAGAAGAATAATGGGGCAGGGAAAGGAGGGAAATGGAACGAGGAAGAAAAGAAAATCGGAAACTCTCGTGTATACGTGTCACCTCGAATTTCGAAGTCCCGCGGAACGAGGGAACCTAATTAGAGCCCCGGATGCTTCGCAGGCATCGCTCGCGTCGCCTCGTCGGCTCGTCGGAGATACGAAAAAAATTGTTTGCGCGCGTCAAACCGCCGGGTTTGTCGATGGAATTGTAATAATAGCCGACGCTTTTCCTTCTCCTGTAGTTTCTCAAAGACGTTCCGCTGAACCGAGGATGAATATTCCACGTAAACAACGCGAGCTCGTGCAATTAGCCTGCGTTGCTCCCGAGACTTTTTACTTTGGGCGTTGATTAACCAGTTCACCGTGGAATTGAATTTTAAACTACCGAGAGTTTATCAAGGTTGTGTAATCCTTGTAAAGATTCTAGCGATAGATTTCTTTTAATTTTTTTCAGATGTATAGTAATTAATTAGAAGCTTCACGGCATTTGTGGTAGTTTATTCTATTGTTAGAAAAATTGTTCGTTTAGATCTTGGAGATTAGTTCGGTAATAGATGATATACATGTCAGTGTAATTGTATCTGTCGAAATCGACGTGAATATTTACAATATTTGTAAAATTTAATGTGCGTTGAATTAAGGCGTTTCGTAAACTTAGTGAAATTGTTTATTTCCTAAAACATTTCGGATGTTTAGTACTTATAAGACACTAATAGGAGAGTAAGGGAACTAGAAGCCGCCATTTTGTCGGGTCGGTGGTTCTAGTGTTAAAAGCCACTAGTGTTGTAATTAGATCAGTTAATGAACATATGTTCGAACACAGGACAAATGCATCTAATATATATTAAAATAAGAACCTAAAGCAGAACGAAAAAGGATCACGCGTTTAATTGAGAAAGTAATTAACCGTTGGAAAAACTAGTATTGTTTTGGGTTTCGAGGCAACGAATATCGTCAGACACGGTTAACTGGTTAAGTTTTTCAACGTCCACTTCGCGAACGAGGATTTATAGAAACATTCGAAACATTTCGAAACTAAGAGAACTCTCAGAAATTAGAAAACAGGAATATTGTGCATTCTTTCATTGATCACACCGAAGTCCCATCGATTCACGATCGCAGTTCGTTTCTGGGTTGGAAAAATTTATTAACTCCTATTTAGCGAGTTCGTCGCTTCGTCGTTGATGGATCTATACAGCCCATTGGTGTCTTACAGTGTTTTACAGCCGTGGAATTGAGCGTCCGCTAAAACAATTTTGAAATTCCGACTAAAACAGTTGAACAGCACTCTTGCTTCCTACGCGTTTCGTCCGAGTAAAGCAACGCCCAGCGAAGCGCAACAGCATCGAACAAGGGGTTCAACAAACGTTCACGCTGATCAGGCTCGCATCGTTCGTGCCTGCGCAGGACAAACTTAAAATACGATACACCTCGCTCGTCGGGGAAAGAATAGACAAACGAGAACTATCAAATTATCGGTAAACTGAAAAACTCCCGCAACGAACGGGTCGTACCGTACAATGTTCGCGCGAACAGCTGTTCCTCGAGAGCGCGAGAAACGCCGGGGCGATTACATAACTTTTTGGTGCACGTTTATACTGTGTTCGGCACTCCCAATCGCGCGCGATTACAATCGAGAAGCCGTAAACGTCGGTGGAAAAATAACTCGCCGCGATCCTCGGGCGCGCTCGCGTCTCGCCTTCGTCCCGCTGTTTGTCTCCGTTCGTTCCGTGTTTTTCGTCCCGTCCCGTCTAATCGCGGAGAGATAAGGTAACCGTCAGATAGGCGTAGATAACGCGCGACGCGGCGGAAGCCGTTTCGAAAGTATACGGGCGGCTACATGCGTCCGAGCGCGAGCTAACGCGTTGACTGCCGAGCACGATAACGCAACGTTTCGTACAGCTTGAGAAATTCATTCCCGCATTGTTCCGAATTGCTCTCCGATTCGTTCGCCTATTCGAACGACTCGAATTTTCTCGGATCTGTGAAACGCAATGTTAAGGTTGGCGACAACTACGAAGGATCTAGACTGTCCCAGCTTCAGCTTTAACGAGTGAATCACTTTATTTGTGCGACACAAGAATATCGAGATTAGCAATCGCTACGAAGGATCTAGACTTTTCAGCTCCTGCTTCGATAAGTGAATCGTTCTCCCTATGAAACAGGAGACTATCGAAATTAGCAATCGCCGCGAAGGACCTAGACCTCTCAGCTTTTCTCTCGATAAGTCGGTTTATCGACGAAACAGGAATATTACGATTAGCGATCGCTGCGGATCTAGACTCTTCCGCCTCGACGAATCAACCGTTCTCCTATGAAACAGACTATCGAAATTAGCAATCGTCGCGAAGCGTTTCCAGCGTTTGTTTCCACGAGTAAATCATTACCTATGGAACCTTAGAATAGGGTAAACAGTAACTGTGAATTTTCAGCTTCTGTTTCAATAAGCGAATCACTTCGACCGAATTCGGACCCTCGTTCAGCAGTCAGCGCGTCGAGGTACCGTCGAAACCGGAGAACGCGGTTGCCCGACTCGAAGCTCGCGCGTCGCTCCGGTTCGTCCCGTTCCGTTTCAGCGGGAGCGCGGACTCGGGTTCGTTTTCCTTTTCTCGCCGGGAGAGAATCACCTGGAATCTTCCGCGGACATCCATCGCGCGCGAGTAATCGGCAGCAGCACTCGTTCGTTCGGCACGCAAACATGCACGCATGCAGCGACACACACACACACGCACACACAGAGGCAGACGAGGCAGGGAAGTGGAGGGGAAAAAAGAAATCGCTCCCGACTGGTATATAGCCTGAGCTATCTAAACGATAAATTGCGGAGTCATTATCGTACCTTCGCGACGACCGATTACCGCGATTAGAATATTCTTCTATTTAACGCCTGCGAACGGCTCGTCCGTCAATCGTCCTAACCGATTCCGCTCGCCTCTTTTTCGCGTTACGCTTAATCATTCTCCGCGACGATTCGACCGTTGTCTTCCTTGAATCGTTCGCTGTACCATTTCAGCGAATCAGTCGCGATAATCGGGGAATTCCTATGCTCGAAAATCAATCGCGGACGAATTGCTTCGTTACGATCGTCCTCGCGGGGGTCCGAAGCCCTCGAAAGATCGAATCGTTTGCCCGCTGAATTGTTTGGATGGCTGCGTGGAACATCGTCGATGATCAGGGACACGGTCCCGTCTGATCGTGGAATGACGCTTCGTGGTGTTTCTTTTTTAAATAATTATATATTTCTATCGTTCGAACAAGTCTCGTCTCGCCAAACGGGGAACAGGTCGGAGAAGCGTCGCGTGTCTGTGCGGCGCGTCCAGACGGTCGTTAAACGGGGTGAGGATGGAGAACGGTGGCTCCATGTCAATCCGGTCGAGGTCGGGGAACGAAAGAAAGCCAGTGGCGGAGAGGTCGAGGAACAGCAAACACCGCGTGCTTGATCGTGTTCTCGACATCGTTAATATCGATCAGTCGGTTTCGCTCGGTTCAGTCTTTCGTTCGGTTGTCTCGCGGTCCGCGGAGGATAGAACAGCCGGATGAGCGGCTCGATCGATCGCGACATCGAGGAACATTCTCGCTGGTTCTCCGACAGAAAAGAATTGACAATCCGTAGGTGGCTACCGTTTCGCGCAGCCGCGGGTCTCACGTCTTCACTCATTCACTCTCTCTCTTTCTCTCAATTTCCTCAGCGACATTGGCTTTTTTGTTATTTGGCAGTAACGCTACATTCTCTCGCAACTCTCTCCTCTCGCAGTCCGTTTCAACCTTCCAACCGGGGATGACTCCCGACTTCCCCAGTTACGTTCATTCAACAAAGAACCCTTCGTTCGCGCCGATGCGAACGTTGCTCGAAAACGTTCGCGTTTGCCAAACACTCGGTTAAAAGGTTAAAGACCCATCGATCATCGTCAATCGTCCCGTAAGACACGCGGCGAGCACACGGTTGACAACAGTCGGACAGGTAGCAAGGTCGTCGGATCACGGAACATTCCCCGGAAGCTGTCTCGACGTGTATCGCTTCCCGTCGAACACGACCGCGCGGCCGATCGACCGTCGTTCTATCGTCGGCGTGGCCGTTGTCGTTGCTGGTTCGGTGGCGGCTTGTACGCTCTTCCTTCGATCGCTCTCTCGGAGGGCGCGCGTTTGCTCTCTCGCGGAGACGTCTCTCGTTGAGCAGCAGAACGCAGCGCTAGCTCTCGGTATCGCGAAGTGTCGGGTAAAAGATCGGTCACCGGCGACGCGTATACATCCACACTTACCGGGCGTAGGAGGCACTTCTGTGTATGCGTTTTCTGTCTCGCGCGTAAACGATCCAGCTTGGCAGTACGTTCTCGTGAGCGAATCGTCGTCGGCCGACAATGTCCTGTCTCTTCGTTCGTCTGTGTTGTTTCTCTGTTCGATTCAGTGTCCGTGAGAGCCGCGTCTAGAGTCTAGAGTTTGGTTTCGCGCGGCAGGTCCGGCAAGCTGGTGCTAGGCGCGAGCAGATCGAGGAACTCCGGGGGTTCCCTGCGCTGCCGCGTGATCACCTCGGTGCTGATACCGCGGAAGACCGACTTGACATGGTCCGCGTCCCTGTACACCGACAGCGTGCTGCCGTCCTCGTCGATGCTGTGCAGCATGATCGGATGCTGCTGCGCCGCCATGCCGTTCATCAGCGGCGGCGGAGGAGGCGGGCCCGTCTCCTCGATGTAATTTATGTGAATCCCCTCCAGCACGTTACCGCAGACGTGCGGACTGACCGAGGACAGCTCCGTCGGCGTGTAATACTCGCTGTTCACGTCTTCGAGGCTCGCCCCGTTCGATAAATCGATGATCTTAGCCTTGAAGTACGTGTCCTCGCGGACGGAGCCGTCCTCTTTCGCGTCGAACACCATCGAGTCGCTCTTGCCGCAGGATCCGCTCCGGCAGTTGTCGAAGTAGAAGCTGGGCAGGTTCTCCAGCACCTTGTTCAGGGTCTGCTGCTGGTACTTGTAGCTCTCGCGCAGCCTCAGCACCTGGTGCGCGCTGAACTTTCGGATCTTGTTCCGTTGGAAGACATAGTTCTCTCGTACCCAGTTCAACTGGCTCGTAGAGTAGTCCCTCGCTTTTCTCACCTGTTGTCGGACCAAAATACACAACGGTTTTAAATGTTGCACTCGGGGGACTGGGCTAGGTCTGGGTTCGTCCTCGGAGGGCAGGTGTTTCTAGCGAGCTTCCCCGTAACGCTTAAACCATTTACGTCCCGGAGCTACTTCGGAGCTCATTCGACGTGAGAAATATTTATGTTGGGCGTTAGAGGTGTTACTCTTGGCGCGTCTAGAACGAAGGTACCGATATGAACTGCGTAATTCAGGGTTCAAAGGATTAAGCCTCGTACGCATTTGATCGAGCTGAATCAATGGAAACTTAGGCCACTGTTATTCAAGGGTAATTTGTATCGTGTTTCTCGGTAGTTAAGGGGTTTTGTTAGTATAAACTCTTTTCTCAAATCTTTTAATCCACTTTTCTCCTTGAGCAAGCTAGATCGATGGAGAATTAGCTACCGCCATCCGAGGGATACTTATCGTGATCCGTGAAGGTGTCGGATCAAAGGACAGACTAGAACGTTGATCGCAGCGATGCGCCGTGTTTCGTTTTACCTGATCGTAATACTGATCTCTGAGGGCCGTGAGGTGGGTCGTCCCGTAGTCCCTTATGTCCCTGATATGCCTCATCTGGCCTTCGTAGTTGTCGCGTATCCACTCCACCTGCTGGGCGCAGTTCTCTTTTATCCTGTGCACTTGCTGCGTGTAATTCTCGCGCAGCTTCTCCAGCTGTTGGCTCTTGTACTGCTCGATGCTATCCAGCATTTGATAAATTTGCTTCGCCCGGGGCGTGGAGCCCACGCGTCTGCAACACGAACACCAATTCAGGCAGCCGCACCTGTAACGTGAACAGCGAGCGATCGTTTCATTGGTCACCGTTTTACGATTCGCCGGAAAATGTCACGGTCTCGAAGGAGTTCATTAAAAAAACAGGCCATCGATTGTCGCGTGTCTATTGCAAGTCGATCCTCGTTTTACGACGAAACGCGACGGTAGGGAACGCGAGAAAGTTACTGGGGATTGATCAGGTGTGTACGTAACCGGTAGAAAAGTGTATACTACTAAGGAGTTATAGTCTGTCTTTAGAAAGAAGAAACTTTAACCACATCAATATGTGTATTAACGGAACACTGCATGCTCAAGGTATTTCACAGCGCAACGAGCATTTTCAGCTAATTTCATCGAAATTTCGAATTCAACGAGACGCTGCACGGAGACGAGTCTCTAATGGATTCGTCAGCGATTGTCACGTTAAATTATTCCAAGTGATAAGATAAACAGTGCGTCAAGTTTCTTCTTCCAGGGTGCGAGTCATAGTGCAACGGTTAACGTAAATCGCGCGTCGCGAAGCGAGCTGTTCACAGTGCGAAGAAAATGAGTGGCACGCGGATGATCGGGAGTAACGTCGAGTTCCTTAACGGAATGCTGCCGCGACGACTGAAAACGAGGAAGAGGAGGAGCAAGACGAAGAAGAGAAAGAGGATGCTCACCTGACGAGAAGATAACGCAGCAACTGTACCAGAAGCGTCAACAGTAGGAACGCGGTGGCGCACGCGGCGCCGACGAGGATGCTGAGGATCTTGATTTTGTGTAACGTGATCGGATTCATCTGCAAACTAATATAGGTAGTCGCATTGGCGATCGGGTTTACCGCGAAACACTTGTATTGTCCAACATCCTGCCTGAGCAACGTAGCGATGTACAAAGATCCATTCTCGAGGATGCGCACACGGCCATCGTCAACGAACGGCTCGCTTTGTTCCCAGCGGTGTACGGTAGGATGTTCGACAAAAGCGTCGGGAAACGCTGGATCTGGGTTCCAGTGCAGTACCTGGAGCTTCGGCGTGACCCAGGTCAGAGACGGCGTCGGATTGCCGTTGAAATCGCACTCGAGCAGCACCGGGTGCAAGAGTAGGTGCTGCTGAGCGGGCGTCCGGTACGCCAACACCGGCGCGGTGCAGTTCAAGTAGCGCAGCGTGTCAAAGATATCGCCGGCTACGTCGATCTCGTCGTCGCCGCACCGGAACCCGCTGCGGAACGCGGTCCTCAGGTGTTCCTTGCTCTCGGCCCATTTCACGAACCAGAACATGCGGCAGTCGCAGGCCCACGGGTTCCCGTGCAGCTGCAGCTCGACCAGAAAGGCCAGCTGCGCGACGTTCGCCGGAAGGAAGGTCAGATTGCTGTCACGCAGATCGATCTTGCGGAGGGCCGGGGTGCGATCCAGAGTGCACCTCGAGATCTCGCGCAGCGGGCTCCCGCTGACCTCCAGCGTCTCCAGTTCGTCCAGCCCCTTAAGGTCGTCGTTCCGCAGGATCTCCAGCCTCGCCCCGGACAGCGACAGGCTCTTGAGCCTCTTCACCGGTTGCCACAGACCCTCTGGAAGCACGGTGATGGGCAGGCGCTCCAGGCTGAGCCATCTGAGGTTGGACAAGCCCTGAAAAGTGGTGCCGGACAGACGACCGATAGGATTGCCCGCCAGGTTCAGCCGCTGCAGCGACGACAGATCGGTGAACATGCCGCGCGGGATCGTCTCTATCTCGTTGCTGGCCAAGTCGAGGGACTTGAGCTGCGCCAGGCCGGAGAACAGGCGGGGCGGAAGCTTGGTCAACCTGTTGCGGGACAGGTTCAGCTCCTGTAGCCGCCGGTTGGGCCTGAAGCTGTGATCCGGCAGGGACACCAGCAGGTTGCAGGACAAATCGAGACGCGCCAGCGACTTCAACGGGGCGAACGTTTGGTAGGGAAGCCGCGACAGCCTGTTCCGCGACAGGGTGACACCCTCGAGGCTCTCCAGACCGTGGAACAGCGCGCGCGGGATCACGGGCAGCCGGTTGTCGGTCAGGTTCAGGTACTGAAGTTGGCGCAACGGATGGAAGACGTCCGACGGCAGTTCCATCAGCCTATTGTCACCTAGATTCAACAGCTCCAGGGACGTCGTCGCGCGGAACACGCCCGCCTCTACGTGCTCGATCCCGCTCGACGACCAGACTAGGCTCTTCAAGTTGGAAGAAGCTTCCAGGGCCACCACCGGAATGGTGGCGGCCCGCACGTTTTTCAAAGCGACGTTCACCGCCTGCTTTGGCAGCCCGAGGCCGAAGAAGCTTCGGTCCTCGCACAGCAAGCTCCTGCCGTCGTCCACGCACTCGCAACCCGCGGCACATTGTACAGGGGACGTCGGCGTTGTCGTGTATCCTGAGATTTGCTGCTGGTACCGGTCCTGATCCTGCGTGTACGCCGCGTGCACTGTTACCAGTAGAACGATTAACCACCACCACGAGTCCCGAGCCAAAACCCGCTCCCTCATCCCTATGACCTGTTACGTGACGATTTTCACGCATACAGTCAACAACTCCCATGTCCTGATTACTGGTGATCCTCCAGAGATCGGTTACTCTTCTTTATCCTGCGCCGTGTGTCGAGCCACGAGCTTCTCTTCCACGTTCGATCCTCTTGCACTTTCACTCGGAGTCACATTCGCGGGACTCTCTTGTACAAAGTCCCTCTTATCCCGTCAGCAGCACACGTTCCTATTCCCTATAAGCCACGTGGTCGTGAAACCAAGTGGTTATCGATCGCATCCTCCGAAAACCCCGTCCCCGTGTCTACCTACCTACACCGTGGACCAAGAGGCGACAGCTCGCGCCTGTTTCGTCTTCGCGTACGTGTGTGTCGTCCGTCTCTCGGACGAGTTTAAACCCGTCGGCGGACAGAGAGAAAGAGAGGAAAGAGGAGAAAGAAAGCGAGAGAGAAAGGGGGACAGACCGAGAGAGACCACCTGGTGTACTGGTCCGGGCAAGGTGGTTGCTTTTAACCGTTCGCGAAAAATCCGGGCCAGTGTCTTACGGACGTACCGAGGTCGCTGGGTTTGTTGATGGCGGCGACGGCGGCAGTGGTGTTGCTGCTGTGACCGAACGGAGCCGGTAACATAATTGTGTGTGGACGGGTTCCGACGGAACGGCCGCCTTCTCGGTTACTCGTTGCTCCGGAGTTTCTTTTCTCGACGGGGACCGACTCGGTGTGTATGTCTTTAATACGGCATACACGTAATATATCCGTCACCCTCTAGGCCCGTGCGCGTCTAGCAACAGTGTTTCCATCGAGCCGTAGTAACACGTCTTCGGGCTAGCCGACGAACAACACTACTTTGCCGCGTGAATGGAGAAACCGCATGCACGAGGAGTAGGAGGTCACGCATTCAAAGAACCACGCGCGCACCGGACACACATACACACAATCACGCTCGCAAGCAGGCAAGCAAGCAAGCCAAGGCAGGTAGGCAGGCAGGCACCCGCCCGCCCTTACGCACAATTCCTCCCTAAAATCCTCTCTTTTCTCTGGATCCTTCGAACGTTATGCGTCGTCTTGTCTTCTCTCTTTCTCTCTCCTAGTCTCTCTCTCTCCCTCTCCCTCTTTCTCCCCTGTTTCCACCCTTTCTGCCTCTATCTCTCTTCCCGTGCCTCGCGCGCGCGGCAATGGCCCTGTGAAGAATCGGAGCGTCTGTCACTGTTCCCCGTCCGTCCGTCTGTCTCTGTCTCTGTGTTTGTGTGCCGCAGCGACCAGTGGTTACTCTCGTTCTCCGCGTGTCACATGACACACTCGGTCATCGCGACGCAGCCAGCGTCGTCCGTCGCGTGTCAGAGGCAAAAACTGACTGGCGAGATCCCCGACAGCCACGGCCAACTCTCGCCTCTCCTCGTGGTTCCCAGCTCTCCGCGGCGGGCGACGTGTTTGTTCCACGGCTGGGGAGAGGAGAGAGAGAAAAGGACGTGGCAACATCGCCAGCCGTGCACCGAGGGCCGACAGCGCCGACGCGAAACCGACATCGTTGCCGGCTGCGCCAGCTTGTGCGTCTCTCGTTTCCCTTTTGCTTTGCCTCGCTTCGCTTTGCTTTGCTTTGCCTGCGAGCTTGCCTGACTGGCCTGCCTGCCTGCCTGCCTGCCTGCTGCTGGCCTGGCTGGCTGGATTCCCTGCCTGCGACCGAACCGATACGACTCTCCTGGTTTTAACACTTTGACTCCCGTGTCACCCGAATTCGGGCCACACCACTATTCGCCATAGAAACTTCGACGTTCGTTTTCTCGGTGACGCATCGAACCGAATTTTGTTGGATACATGAGATTATAAGAAAGTGGAGCTATTATTGAGACTTCTCAGTTTCTGGTTAATGAAAACTCGAGTACATGTCAAAGTGCCGAGGGTAACTTTTTATAGACACGGTTCTGGGAAAATACACTATGCCTGGGAGAGATTCGTTCCAGAGCTAAGAAATCGAGAAATAATCTGCAAATTCAGATTGCGAAGAATCTTTTAGAGTTTGAGTGACTCGGTTGGAATCGTGTGGAAGAGTTACAATGGCGCGTAGAACTGCAGTCAATAATCAATTACCAATTCGAGTAGTACACGTCCGAGTCTCTGGAATCATTCATCGTATCGTTCTTCATGCGAGCTCGACTAAGACGAGACTATTATAGCTCCACTATGAATCATATCGAAGCAAGACGCATTATCTCCACTACGATTCAACTCTCTTTTAATTCCACCGCAGTTCTGCTGTAAACACCCTAACTGTGCAAAGAGGGGAAGCACCATGGGCCATGGGACGCAGGCCTGCTCTCCCCCAAGTTCCTGCCTGCTTGCCTGCCGGCTACAAATGCAGCCGAACCCACCAGGATATTTTCGATCCGGCTGCACACCGACCGTGTCCTGCTGTCCCTGCTTTTGTCACGCGTAGCTCTATCTACAGGGTGTCCGAGAATTTCTACCACGACCGTCACATCGCGCTCTTACATATTTCCTTCAATATACAAATTACGAAACAGTTCAAACTAAAATCTGCTGTCACGCGTAGCTCTATCTATAGGGTGTCCAAGAATTTCTACCACGACCGTCACATCGTGCTCTTACATATTTCCTTCAATATACAAATTACGAAACAGTCCGAATGAAAATCGACTATCTCGAACGAGTGATGCAGAAACGTTAACTCCTTTGCAAGAACGATTACATCCTCCATCGAAACGTTCACACTGTGGTGTTGACATATTTTTGGAACACCCTGTACAGACACTCGTACAGACACCCATCGCTGGTTCTAGCCCCTGTTTCCCCTCTTCCGCGAGAAGCACACGAACACCCGCGCTCCGCTCTGTACACCTAATTATCCGGCCGCTGCTGCTGCTGGTTCTGGGCAGAACGTCTAGCTGCGAATTCTCCCGGCGTCCTGTTATCGTTTCCAGTTGCCGGTTTCGTTATCGCCTAGCCGCGTGGGTGTGGGAATGCGTATCGCGCGCCGCGATAACGCGAATTCGGAGCGGATACCGGCGTGGGCGCGATTCTGCAGGGGTTTTCATGTCGGTTCTTGGGAACGATGGATCGACGGTTGATCAAGTTCGTCGGGAATCGGAGTTTTTTAAGGGTAGTTCGATCGGTAGTATCCTGAACATATTCTGCTCCAATTAGTAGGGCCGAACGTCGTCCATCTAATTCGGCTCGCTCGAATCTGCAAACGCGCGATAAATATGCGAACGGTCTAATGAATAGGTAGCGCGATAAGTATGATAATTCGGTCGGGTAACCTGTTAAATATTCTCGATAGGTTCGCGACCAGCGAACGGCAGTCGTATATTTTGTCGAATCGTCTTTACAAAATGCAGATGAACCCCGAGAAAGGAATATCGTACGGAATATCCTACCGGTTTCGGTGTACGATTTTAATTAGATACACGCGAGAGTCGATTCGATATTCCTCGGGCGAGATAGAAAATGAGCGTCACGATTATGTGACGCGGGTCGCGAAGCTGTTGATTTTCTTGTTGGCTGTTTGCGAGTCGAGACGCGACAGTGTAGGTAATTATAAAAGAACAGAGCCGGGAAGTGGAAAATAATAGATTCAGCATCGAATATAGTTCGTTCGTCTAATTCCGGAGCAGTTCTAAATTCGTACGAATTACTCGGGACTGGGATCTATAGTTCACTCTCGGGCGTCCTGTTCTTTCCTCGCGCATAGGGTCAGGGATTTCCTTGTAATAATTGTTATAATAGATCGGTATCGTCGTCACGAAACCGTGTAAATGTTCGCCATGTGTTCGCCGGCGACGCGTCACAGATGCCTCCCGCGGTTGTGTCGGTGCGCGTTTTAATAGTCGGACAACGCGATAAGTCGAAAGCAGAGTTTATCGTGTTGTAACATCTAATCGGGAAAGCAGATCAGCCCGAGCTTACGTACGAGTCCGAATCAAGGTTACATGTTTTATAAACATGCAATCCTCCTTATTGTCCGCGCGCCGTGTAAAAGAATCGAGAGCTAATTGTGTGGAATAAGTTTCTTTTACCCGGGAACAATTACGAGACATCGGTAAACGGATAAACAGTGGGAAAAACGTGTTGTTCATCGGGGGAACTCAATACTCGCAATTACGGAGTGAACTGTTGCTTCACCTTGAATTCGCAGACATGCCCGCGGGCAATTCTTTTCTGTTACTTTCGCACAACGGCGACCTGTGACCCGAGTACGACGCGAACGCTACGTTTATCGGGCTTTGTTCTTTCATCGACAAGAAATGTTTATCCGCGACGCCGATGATTAATCGCGTGGATAACGCAATTAGAATCGTACAAGTTCCACCACTTTCGTCGGGTATTATTGGAATGAAATTTCGCCAGCATCGCGGCGCGATCAATGGCCAACAATGTACCATTGTCTCCGATCGTTCTTCGACCACGGATCACTTTGCCAAGGCCTTACTGCGCAAGAAAATACCGGTTTCCGGTCGGACACCGAAGTCGCAGCTCTCGCGAGCTGTCAGCGAAAATCAGCATATTCAAGATCCATTTTAAGCGGCGGGTCCGCGCCTAACGATATCAATATAATAATTGATTCAGGTTATAAATAACCGGCTGCGTGTTTTCACCGTTTCAGTCTCTCGGTTTATATCGAGTCCGGCTGGCTAGCGGAGATTCTTCATTAAATTCGATCAATTGAAACAGTGATTCTTCGTTCGTAGTCTTGAATGGAAAACGTTCAGACCCTCAAGACACTCGTTTACTAATTACAATATCCCATTTCGGTCTCGTTTCCAAGAGGAGAGTGGAAACTGGAAATATTCGAAATGAAAATGATTGCGCAGTAATCACCTATGTATCGTTTTAAAGAAAGAAGTAGAAACTGGAAATATTCGAAATGAAAATGATTGCGCAATAATAGAAAAAGTTCAAATCCTCAAGAAACACGTTGACTAATTGCAATATCCCATTTCGATCTCGCAATAATCACCTATGTATCGTTTCCAAGAGAAAAGTAGAAACTGGAAATATTCGAAATGAAAATGCGCAATAATCATCTATGTATCAAATATGAAGTGTTCAGTAACTCGACAGTTCAATAATTCTACAATTCTAAGTGCTACCCACAGAACTTTCAACGGTTCCCGCAAAACGATCAACGAATCAACACCGAGAAGCCGAAGGAAACTCTGAGAATCGTTGAAATTCGTTGAGCTGCGTGTCGTGTGAACTCGCGAAGATTGAGTAACAAAGGGAGAATCGTCGAGCGCGGCGAGCAACTATGATCCCCTAGCTCTTCTCTCATTTATTAATTAGGCGGTTTTTATCTGGCATCTTTCCGCCCTGGTAAGCAGCCATGCTACTGGCTGGCTGGCTGGCTAACTGGTCGGCTTGCCACGGGGCGGACCTTTCGAATCTCGTTTCGCAAAAGGAGAAAGAGCGGCGCACGCTCGTCTCGTAGTTTACTTTCGGCTCCGCGGAGGAGGCGCAGTCTCATTGGCCAGAAACTAATTAGCGCGACGCGCGAAGTCACGATAATGTACATCGGACGGGATCGTTCGCTCGTTCAAGGACAGATCGAGGTGATTTCGGGGAAACGCGAGTCCCCCGAGTCATCGGGCCCATTATGGGAATTAAACGTTCCTTTTTCTTCGATTAAATATCCACGTTTCCCGCGGTTTTACCACGTACGTGACCGTGTCCGTCGCTTTTTCCTCGACGCGAAGCCGGGTGTACGTGCGCGTACTTGAACCGGTGTCCTCGGTACTTGATTCCGGAATTATCAGACCGGTCGAAACGACCATTTTCAGGTTCCTTGGTTTAATGTTAGTAGACCATCGATTTCCTCGCGAATTTTATCGTTTCGTAAGGTTAATGGCGGTTTGAGAGATGATGGAAACGACCGTTCGGAAATTATGGTAGGATTATCTTTTGGAGAGTAGGATTGAGATGGTGATCTTTGGTGGTAGAAATTATTTGGAGAGTATGATGGAAATGGCGATTTTTTATGGTAGAAATTATCGTTTGGGAAGTATGATAGAGATGATTATTTTTGGTGATAGAAATTATTTGGAGAGTATGATGGAAATGGCGATTTTTTAT